AACGGCGTCGCCGGCATCGCACTTACAACTCGAAGGTTCGACGCTCAACGTTGAAGAGTGAAGCGTTATGAATAATGTATCCTTTTTTGTTGTTGCCCTTCGGCCGGCGGGTGGAAATTGATATTTTTTAGACATTTTAAGTTATTATGAACGTGTTGTGTCAATCGAGATTATTTTAAATTTAAAAAAAATGTTTCAAGTTTTTAATGTGTTTAGATTATGTGGAGGCGCCGAGTATTTACTCCAATTTTATGTTTTAATAGGTAAAATACTTGTATTTTAGTATTTAATGAAGTGTAAGTTTATTTAATGAACTATACTCATTGACACTAAGGAATTTATCCCTCAAACTCTCAAAGAATGCAAATATCCAATAGTTTGCAAGTTTACCCTCGTAAGAAGTGTATTGAAAGGCGTTAAAGCAGCTTAACACAACATAACTTCACTGCGTAAACTTTCAACTCAAAAACTACCCCTGAAACTATTTCTTCATTAGACTAAATAATTAAACAATTTCTAAGTTAATTTTAAATTGCGAAAACTCGCGAAAAACATTTTAAAACTTTCGCCAACGTTTTTTGTCACTTAGAAAATTTGAAGTTAGTTTTAAAGGCGAAAGTGTAGTTTAAAATTCAGTTTAAAACGTGTGTAAAAATGTTGCACTTGCATCCCAACTCGAAAAAGCAACGTGGCAGCGCTCAATTAATGCTAAGTGCAGCAGAGGAAAATAAATTATCATCTTTGATGGTCGGATGAGAATAAATTGCTCTTAGGAGGACTGGCGGGAGACAAAACTGGCCGAAACGTTCGCGTTTAGGTCCTGACGTTAATAACTCTCCTGAGCGCTCCAACATATGGCCGCGATGCACTCACTTATGAGTGCGCGCCGCGAAAAGGTTGGAAAACGTACAGCACGTCGACGTAAGGGATGATGGAAAAGCGGCGAGATTAAAATAAAAGCGCAGCCTGATAATAACACAACGATTATTCAAATAATTATTCAAAACTTGTCGCGCAAAAAAACCGAAACAGACTGGGAATGATAAATTATGTTGATTACTTCTGACTGCGTTTATTTATGTCGAGAGTGATAACATTTTCTAATTTGTGATTTGCACGCCAGAGGGAACAATAAAATATTTTCATCACGTCGAGGAGTTGTTGGAATGAACTTAATATTTTTGCCTCGGGCATACAAGAAATAAAAACGAGATCGTATTACAGACATACAATATCTCATATTTTATATTAACTTTTTATGCATCACTCGGTATATTTTATTCTGGAATAAAGTGAACAAGTTAACTGGCCACTTTTGCTTTCCTGCGCTAGTGGAACAGGCGCAGGACCTCGAGACGCTCGCCTATTACAACTCGTAACGTTTATATTACAATTTCGAGTCCTCGGCGCGGAATTATACAAGCGAGTGTGCGGCGGCGGCACTCGAAGGATAAACGCTCTTGCGACGTGAAGAGGGTGAAGAGCGGCGGCGTGCCGAAACTTGAATGTTTATGCGGTCGCCGTTTAGGTGGTTTTCGAGATTCATGCCGACGACGCTTTCGCACCGCCGCCGCCGCCGCCAACGTTTACTCACTTACGGGCCAATTTCTCCCTGCCTGTGAAACTACGCGTGGAAAACTGTCCTACGAAACCACCGACGTAATATTTTAAACCACAAATTTACAAATATTTAAAAAATTTTAAAAAAATTACAAATAAAAACAATTTGGTGGAGGAGCCAAAAAATTAGATTTATTTTTGTTTTGAGGTGTTTTGTAAATGATTTAATCAAAAATTTATAGAATTTAAGACATTTTATGTAAATGCTTAAATTTTTGACAAGTTAAATACAAATATAGTAATTTTCATTTGTCGTGATTGCGACTAATAAATGCATAAATCATTGGCAGAATGCAATATGCACTCGCGCAATAGGGACGTGATTTATGGCTGTTTTTTTCCATCCCCAACTCCAAAAAATCGACCTGAACGATTTTAAATTACACATTCGCAACAAACTTTTCGGGGGACGAAAACAACCGGTAACTGAATGGATTCTAATTGAAATTAATGCTCTAACCCTACGCGGAAAATATTAATTAATTAAAACCGAAATGACAAAAATGACAAATATTAATTAAAATTCACCCAATATTTGATGTGGTCATAATTTATTTACTTTTGTTCTCCGGTGCTGGTTTTTATGCGCGCGGTTTTTGCGTTAAAAGAATTTCATGAAAGAGTTGAGTGCGTCGTGGTTGACAACATCTTTTATTTATCAAAAGTCGTGCGAGCGGCGTGAAAATACAAACACAGTGCTACGCTGAAAGCTTTCCGCGTCCTCCCTGCGGTAAATCCCGTAGGATCCTCGGTGCTCGTCGAGGATTGATTTTATAATATACTGTCAAATATAAGGATTTGCGGGTCGCTTTACATCGCATCCATCAATTCGATTTGGTTTTATTCGATACGCTTTCATCTTTTTTATCTTCGTGTTCATGTTTTTTGTCTTGATAAAAATCTTCTACAAGAATTCATGTTTCAATTTCTTTCATATTTATGAACACCATAAATATATTGATATTTAAGTGATGTTTAATTTAAAATAATTTACGAATAACATGATGATAATCATAAGGATAATCGTCCTTAGGGAGTTTTTTCGTAAACTTTTGCATTTCGGTTTCCGAGGGAAAGTCACTTTCACTTAAACCTCCCTATATTGCACACAGACGTTTTAGGAAAAATAATACTTTATTTCCGTTTTTCCTGCTTGTCGGGAAACCACGAAACAAACTCGAAAGTTTTGCCCTATTCTTTATTATCCTAACTTTTTTCTGTGTTTTTTTTTTCTTATTCGCCTAAACGGCGCGCAGAGTGAAGTGAGTGGACACGAGCACGCTCGGGGAGTCTGCATCGTAAGAACGAAAAGCATAACGCGTAAAGGATCCAGCAAGGACTCGTCGGAGAATAGCCCCATGGGGGTTTCTCCTCAGTGTCCCCACAGTGTCCTTCAAAACGAGAACAAACCTAAAGAAAAAGGACAAGTTTTGCTTTGGATGGGAAAGTACAAGCAGGACGAAATTCACTTTTTGTTTTTGTTTGTAACGCAACACGGAAACTCCATATAAGTTGTCCAACTTGTCCATATTTCCAATTTTTCTAATATAAATAGTCTTTTGCCGCCTGTTTATCGACAAAGGGCACAGGGACAAAAACTAACGCAAATATTTTGTTTATCTTTCGCTATTAAAATTTTGCTAATATTTACTCGTCGCATTACCCTAAAAAAGTTTGCTACTCAATACACACATATTAATTATGATTTTATTAAATAAGCCGCAGTAAATATAAATCAGAAGTTTTTTTTTTAAATATTTTTGAAGTAAAAACTTCCGTAGATTAAGACTCAGCGATTCGTTCCTTCTATCTCTTTTAGTTCACGAGATATTCGCGATTGAATAAAATGGGCAAAAATTGAAAAATGTCACTTTTTAGCATTTTTAGTCGCGTTTTTCGACCTTTTACTGTAGGAAATATAATTATTTTATATTTTTATCTTATAGAGAATTTTCATAATCAGCAATTCGTTGGTTGCTATCTCTTTTAGTTTAGGAGATATTAATTATCAATAATCGTCGAAAAAAGTATGGCAATTTTTCTTAAGAATTAAAATTTCATCTCTCAGATTTCCGTTTTAACTATCCTCTCTTATAGAAAATAGTCCGTAGATTAAGACGCTGCGATCAGATCCTATTTATCTCTTTTAGTTTACGAGATATTCGCAATTGAAATAAATCGTCAAAAATTGAAATATTGCAATTTTTAGCACTTTCAGTCGCGTTTTTACACCTTTTACTCAATTAAATTAAATTATTTTAAGTTTTCATCTGATAGAATTTTTTTTTCTGAATCAATGCAATCGCTATCGTTTTATTATAAATCACATGTTGATGTAATGTCTATTGTGCCAATTAAGCATAATTAATTAAAACACAAATGGCACTCGCAGTGGATTGTGCTGCCAGGGATGATAAAATTTAATACCGAACTAATATTAAATAAACGCTGCCGCATTACATTCCGAGTGATATTACTCACAAGCGGTGAAATAAATTTAATGAAAATTCAGCATTTAAAATTGCTCGCGTTTGCGAATTATTTATGCGCATATTTATACATTTATTTTGCTCGTTGTAAACGGTTGTAAAACCTGCAAATGATATCGAACATGTGCTCGTTTCACACCGTCTCTCACAGCTTCGAGCATTACCAGCAGCTAACCGGAAACAACATAACCTCAAATGTGACAAGAATTTTTACAACGCGCACGAAGAAAATGCATAATTCTAAACTAAACAAAAATAAATAAAAATATAAATTGAATGTATGATTCAATTGATTCGTATTCATTATGTATTATAATTTATAATAATAATAATGATTATAATAAATGCGCATAACAAAACCGACCGGAGTAGTGATTAAGGATTGAATTTAGCATTTTGAATTTTGCGATGAATTTTGGATTTGTAAGCGATAGTCATTACACATTTAATACCACGCCGTATTTAAAATGCGCTCCGTATTTATTTGCACAAACGCATAATTTATGCGCGCTTAATATTAAATACATCGCGAACTAATGACCAATATCACCGATGACGGCGCGTAGGACGCGCCTGACGAATGTTAACCGCTCGTAATCACGTACACAAATGCGAACACGCGTTTTCGCCCAAACGAAATCAATTTTTCATTCGTTCTATTATTTATCGGCTCGTAAGCACCGCCATTTTGAATCTGCTCAACGAATAAATATCAACCTCACACAGAATAAATAAACCAACAAATTTTTGTATCTTTTTTTTGTAAATTTTTCATTTTTACGAGTAAAACTAATTTTTTATTTATTTTCAGAACCATGGGATTGATTTACGTGTGCTGCCATCTGATGGTGAGTAGTTTATATATTATATTGATAATCTTTAGTTACTTACCGGAAATGCCGTCATAAGTCCACCATTCTTCCCAACTGACTGCACTAGTTTCTGAAACACAAATACAAACATGAAAATAATTATTTTAGTTGTAATAGAATAACCTAGTTGTATGTATGCGCGTGTGAGTTTGATGGAGTTTTAATTAAGTGTCGAAATTAGTTCTTATGAGCGCCTGAAGTGATGTGATGGCGCTGTTGCGCGCGCCCCCGAGGCTAGTAACGTGATACATAAACGCAATTTAGTGGATTGGGATTGATTGGGTTTGATCGGCAATGATGATAATTGATGCATTCGCAAGAGCTGTGAGGGAGCAAGTCCACGCGAATCGTACGCGTCCTGCGAGCGGCGCCGGCGTTCTCCGTTTTGCGCTCGCATCCGGCGTAAGCCCATATTTCGTCGGATTTACAGCCCGGATTAGTCGACTGCAACACATCGCAACACGCGCCCGGCCCCGAAAGCGCACGTATCTCATTTTTAATCCGGATTATCTTACAGCGACTTTTACAACGATATCCCCCGTTTTACTCGGGCGCGGCGCGCGTACAGCATACGGTTTCATGCATCATTTTGTTGCGAAATCGCATCAGAATCTCCCCGCACGGAAATTTACTACTCAAGTAGCGACATCTATCGGATGATAGCTTTAGATTTACTCGCTGGCATTTTATTTTTTCTGCGCATAAAAGCGATTTTAAAGTCGTCGCAATTTTTGCGATTACAAAACGCTCAAACAATTCCCGGACAAAACTACTCTCGTTAATTACTTAACGGCGAGTGTGTCTACTCAGCTACCATCTTGTTTGCGTCGTGGCGTGGCAGTAAATTAGATTGGGTGAATGTCGTGCACGTTCGGTTAGCGGCGATGCTGTCACGTCGAATTACGCGAAATTAAAGGGTCAGCGCGCGACTTTTACAACTATGCTTGCATCTTTTGCTCCTCATTGAGTTTATCGTTCGCTACGCCAGAACGCGGCGGCCATAAAAACAAGTTTGTCATGAAATGCAAGCACAATTAGCTGTTGTTGACTTTTTGCTACTCGTCCGCTGCAAGACGTCGCGCGCATTTAGACAAATTGGTTATTTGTTTGTTTAGTTTGCTTAGTTGCTTGTTTTGTAGTTGGCAAAAAGAAGTGAATTTGTCTGTGCCAACCGAGATGGGATGAATAAATGAAGACGCGGACGGGGCGAGCCGTTTGAGTGCGGCGCTAGCGTCGGTAAGAAAAATTACACGGAAATGCAGAAAATGTTGAGGAATGCGCAAGAATGTTGAGAAATGTTTGAGAAATGTGAAAGCGGAAAAAATACACGTCGGATTTTAACGAATTAGTTTGCCTGCAACGTGTGTCTGTCAAAGTCTGCGGATTTGCAGAACGAGGTGGGATTGCCACCAAGAGGAGGAAAAATTAAGCCATTTATTATTCAAACTAGAGGAGAACCATCAGAATCTGCGAGTGGAACAAAAAAAATTACAACGTGTTTTCTTTCGGGTTTATTCGTAAAGCGAAAAAAAACTGTTTCTATACTTGACTCGCGTAATAAAATTATAAACTTATACATTTGGCACCGATGCAACGACAACATTCCCATGCATGTAAGACGTTCGCAAGACATCTCATCCGTGTATATTATCCAGGAAATCTCGAAATTCCTGCTGCGCAACATAATTTTCTCTCCCGGCTGGCTTGGTGCCTGTCTCGCAGTGGATATTCAAGATGTAAATTGCTATTTGTTTCGGTAGCCAAGAAATTGTTTCAATGTTCCAGTGCACGCTGTCCCAACTCACATCCTGATAATTTCTCCGTCGCTCGCAATGTTTTCGCAATGTCTTTGCGCGCGCGTTTCTCACAATGCGCGCACACTACTCATGTCTCGCGGCAACTTTATTACAACAAAACGTTTTGTTTTTGTCTCGGCGTACAAAGCGCACGGGCGACTAAGAGCGCGGCGGGAAGATGAATATTTTTTCAGCGACGCGCGCGTATTCATTGCGGAGTTCCGCAAGATTTCCGACACCGTCGAGCGGATGGCGGAGGAGCCGGGCGCAAACCATGAATAATCAGTTTATGTGCGAGTGCAGCGCACTGCCGCCCGGGTGCAAAGGATCATAAACAATGGGAACTAAAATACAACATGCAAACCGGGCAAAGACGCCAGCGTTGCACGGCTTTTGCGACGCAGAATGGAGAGCGAAAAATGATTTGCAACTTTTCCCGGCGCAGGAAAATCTTGAATGCGAAAGAAATAAAAACGCGGCATAAACTAGCAATGATAAGAAAAAATGGAGATTGCATTTTAAATTTTAACTACTCCAAGGCGAATAACAAAAATTAACCCACTAGAAAACATAAAATATAGTTCTTAACGTTTTTCTGCGCTTTTAATAAAAAAAAACTTTTTGTTTTCTTTTTAAGTCAACAAAGCAGATTTAATAGTTCAGCATCGATTTCGCGTCGACGCATCTCTGATTATGCACCATTCGAGTGCCATTTAAAGACTTCCCGAAGGACGTGTCGGAATCCTTCATTAACTGCCAATCCTCCCTCGCTTCGCTTAAGATTCAAGACCTTAAAATGTTTTTAAAGACTTTAAAGACTTTAACAGCATAAAATTCCTCCGATTGACTTTGAGCTTTCGCAATAAAAACGCGAATTGAGCAACTATCAGCAAAGCAATTTTTCAATTTAAAACTTTTCAAACGTCCGATAAAAGACAGCAGCTGAAACAAAATCGTGTTATATTTCAGCGTGTGCGTTTTTTTTATTGTTTTCTTTGTTGCCTTTTAAACGAGCTTTTTTCCTGCGGAGAGCTCGTTTTTTAATCGCATTATTTCCGGTAAGCGCAATGTCGAAAGCCGCCTGGATAAAATATGTCAGCGACGTAATACAATTACGCTTTTTAATTTTTTAATTGGCCGACTAATGCGCACGCCAAAAGCCTATCAGAACCCGCTAATTGCATGGATGTTGCCACTACGTAAATATTATGTTGACAAACATAATTTTCAAAGTACAAAGCCATGAGAAAACAAGTTGTGTAAACTTGCGCACAATAAAAAACGTAAAAATACATAGAATTAGATAGTGTGGAGGCGCTGGGTAAACCGCAGGAAATCCAATTTAAACCTCACCACAGCCAAGTACTAAATTCAATGATTAAACTTATCTGCAATTCAGGTAATAACTTTTCAATTTTCACGCAATCTTTGTCTTCGCACTATTTCAGGTGCGTGTTAGGACACGGTGTGTCTTTTTACAATATATCTTATCCTCATTGTGCAAATGCTATCAGTTTTTCTGTGGTTTTTGAGTTAATTTGTGTTCTCTGGCTTTGCGGTCGTTGTGCTGACTGAAAAAATTCGGTTAGCGCTTCATGAGTCGTACGTTACGCGCCCCGCAATGTTATCTAATCGACCGCGGGCACGCACGCACGCCGCCGCCGCGGTTCAGGTGTTCATAAATTAGTCCCGGACGCACCGAAATTGTGGCTACGCATCCGCATTTACCAACACAAATGTTGCGCAGCCTGCGAATCCTCTCTCAGCATCATGCACAATAAAAAGAAAAACAAACAAAATGTAAACCTGTGATATTTTACACGACGCCACAAAAATATTCAAATTTAATCTGCGTAATTGATCAAATTTTCACGCGTAGAGAGTATTGACAGGTGCCGCGGGTAAATTAGATGCATTAATGACCTATTAGCTATTAATTAATTAATTTCCAACCAATTTGATGTTGGGCCATTGGCATTGTTGCCGCATCGAAGGTGAGCTCGCCGCCGGAAACCAGACGAACGTATGCAAACTTGATTCATGCCGAACGCGCGACACTACCTACGCCGGAGAACCTCCAAGTGCACAATTACACCGACCGCCCCCCGACGTTTGCGTAATGGATGCCGAACAATTCGATCGTGACGCAAGCCACACACAGTTTAGCTCATATTATCAAGCTCGCGGAAATCTCATTGGTTACGTTGGCAAATTGACCGTCGCACAATGACATAACCTATAAACTATAAACTAGAACTACAATTAATATATATTGACTAATTGCTACTAAAATTATATTCAGTGGAGGCGCCGGGCAATTAATTTTAATTTAGGATATTTTAAAGTATTATTATGTAAAACGTTATCATTGCGATATAATCGTGATGAGCCCGCGTGATGGAGCGCATTTTCCACGTGTATCGGATGGTTGTGAGAGACTTATGCCGTTCACGCCCACCGCCTCTCCGAATCGCGCTATCAGATCGTGCATAAATCTCGTTCGTAAAGTGGCGCGGGTGGCGCGCATGCAGCGAAAGAAAACAAGAGATAGACGCGTGATTGTATGCGAGCGTGGGTGAGAACTGCGGGGGCAACATTCGATATCGGTAATTAAGATCTGCGTTGCAGTTGAGCGAACGACCAATGGACTCGGTCAGTTCATAGTAAATTATATTTTGCAGCGCCGGGGGTGGGTGATATTCATACGTCAGCTACCTAATTTGCACATCTCTAGAGTATGGCGTTGTTTGCGGCGCCAGTTTGTTGTTTCAGGCATGTAGGGTTCATAAACATACAGGATAATCCATAATTAACACAAATTTGCAAAATTTTAATTTTTTTCTTTGTTAATTACGTGGAATTAAGACTTTTATGTGTTGTTTTGTCTAGACAATGTCTAGTCTAAATTAGGTTCTGTATTGTTATTAATTTACGTTTGGAATACTTATAGAAGCAGCCTTGCGGCGGGCTAATTTGCAGCCGGGTTTTTGCTCGTCTTTTCCCATTCTTGCTGTTTTTTGTATCGATGCCTTGGAGTGCTGTAGGTGAACGCAATGAAACATTAATTTCAATAGACTAGCAGAGCAGGCTCGCTCAATACAACAATTTCGTCCTTTTCCTATCCCTGTTTGTTCTACGTGCGTTAACTCTCGCTGTTTGCATTGTTTGGTTTACAAAATGGAAAAATACTTGTTCATGTCAGGAGGCAATTACCAAAAGGCGGATCGGTGCGCAATTTAATATAATGTTCTTCCACGTAATTTGCTACCTGGAA